TCAGACATTCCGGGGTTTACTTCTGTTTTTGTTTTCTTAATCAAGAAAAGCGATATAATGTAGACTACAGACCCTGGAGTCGAACCGCTCGGATTCAAGTCCAGCCCCACCACTTACTAGCTGTGTAACCTTGGGTAGATTATTTGACCTCAGTTTCTTCATGTGTAAAACGCAGGCAATTATAATAGTGCCCACTCTTGGGGTTGTTTTGAGGACTAAATCAGTTAATGCATGTGAAACCCTAAAAACAGTGCTTAAACAACAGTGCTAGATAAATATCATGAAAGAGGAAAATGACATGTTAAGCATGACATCTGTAGCTCAATGCTGCTATTTATTTATTTTATTTATTTATTTTTCCTCTCCTCTTCCTCTCCCCCTTCCATCTCTCTCTCTCTCTCTCACTCACCCAGTCTCTCTCCTAACTTCTTGATAGACCTGGTTTGAGGATAATTGGTTTTTTGTTTGTTTGTTTGTTTAGAGACGGGGTCTTGCTATGTTGCCCAGGCTGGAGTGCAGTGGCTATTCACAGGTGCTATCCCACTACCGATCAGCATGGGAGTTTTGACCTGGGCTGGTTCACCCCTCCTTAGGCAACCTGGTGGTTCCCCACTCCCAGGAAGTCACCAAACTGATGCCAAACTTAGCGTGGACACCTGATCGGCACAGCGCACTACAGCCCAGAACTCCTGGGCTCAGATGATCCTCCCACCTCAGCCTCCCGAGTAGCTGGGACTACAGGCACACGCCACCACGCCCGGGAGGATGATTGTGTTATGTGACAAACATCTTGTGCTATGGGTACGAGAATATTGGTCCTACTATTTTCTTGTCCTTTTTTATTGTGATGTTAATATTATTGTCAGTCCTCCGTGGATTTATTTATTTACTTACTCATTTCTGCAGTAGACTTTTTCATCCTCAAATCCACTTTGTGAGAGTTACCCAATCTAACTCCATCAGAGACTGGCAAACTCCCTGCAAAGAGCTAGATAGTAAATATTTTCAGCTTGGCAGGCCATATGGTCTCTGTAGCAACTACTCTTCTCTGCTGTTGTACTGTGAAAGCAGCCATAGGCAAAATGAATGTGTGGCTGTGTTCCAATAAAACTTTATTTACAAAAATAGGTGGCAGTGCATAGTGTGTTGACCCTTGATATAGACCAGCAGATCCATAAACCCACTTTGCTCATGAAAATTGCAATAGGGAACAGTGTTCCAGATGAAGAAGGGGCAAAGCCTGCAGGGAAAAGAGCTTGACGTGGGCAGATGCTTGGCGGGGCCAGGGCTGACTCCAGCTGCGGCTCAGCCAGTGAGATTCGAACTGCCTTCCAGCAGAGGCTCTGGGCATGAAAGAAGCCTTTCTAATAAACAGTCAGAAATATAAGAGAACTGGAGAGTAGGAAGCAGCCCTGTTGGATGCCTGGAGGCTGGGCAAGCCTCCTCACTTCCACAGGGTGACCGTCAGAATGTCATGGGCAAGGAATTAGAGTTTCCAGATACAGGTGATGGTGGGAACGGTGGCTACGGCCAGGCCAGAGGCTGGCAGGGTGAGCAGCAGGGGAATGATTCAGAAGTTCAGGTGAGTCTCTGAATACAGACGGGCATGGAGGGCAGAGCTCAGGCAGTTTCACTGAGAGGTACGAAGTACCAGAGCACTATTTTGTTTCTAGATTGCTAGAAATCCCAGCAACTGCACTCCCTCCTGCAATTGTACTCAAATCCATTGGCCTGGTGATCATTGTGCACTGTGGCCTCCAACTCCTGGGCTCAAGAGATCCTCCCATCTCAGCCTCCCAGGTAGCTGGTATTACAAGTGCACGCCACCAAGCCAAGACAGGTGATCATCTTAAAACACAAGTCTCATCATGTCACCCCTCTGCTCAGTGGATTCTCTCCAGTGGATTCTCACTTTATTTGGAATAAAAGCTCAGAGCAAAAGGGATTCAGGAAGGGGAGGAAGGAGGACTTCTGGGCAAACGGGAACAGTGGGCTCAGAGCTCATTATGGTATGGGCACCAAAAGGTGATGACACTAGGTATGGAGCCGATTCTCCTTCTGTGACCTCACGTGTCTGTGTCTCACTGTTGTCCCACTGTGTTCTGGCTCTGTCAGTGGTGTGTAGCGGACTGGAAAAGTGTTCTGAGTGAAACCCAGCGGGACAGTCTCTCTTGGTGCTTCTGGGTATGGTGGAGGAAACGTCCCGCTCTTCAGCTTTCCCAACCATGACTTAAAACAGACCCAACTCCTGAGCATCCTCCTCGCCTCTTCCCCCTCACACCCATACGTTAGTCTACTGGGACTCCTGCAACAAAATACCATAAACCAGGTGAATCACACAACAGAAATTTCATTTCTCACAGTCCTGCCTCCACGCCTGAGGACCAGCTCATCCAAGAATCAGCTGGAAGCCCAGACCAAGGTGTGGGCAGGGCTGGTTTCTCCCGAGGCCTTTCTCCTTGGCTTGCAGATGGCTGTCTTCTTATGTCCTTGCATGGTCTCCTCTGTGCATGTCTGGGTATTAATCTCTTCTTCTCAGGGAGCCATGAATAAGGACAGGCCTGGAGGGCAGGGCCCTGGCAATTTCCCTGAGATACAGAGTCCCAGAGCACTGTTTTGTTTCTAGGTTGTGATCCGTTCCCGGTCTCTACCCAAACCCATTGTCTCCTCCAATGAAATGGGTCCCACCCCAATGACCTCATTTAACCTGAACTACCTCTTTAAAGACCGTATCTCCAAATACGGTCGCATTCTTCAGTACTGGGGGTTAGGACTTCAGCATGTGAATTTTGTAGGATGCAATTCAACCTGGAACACCCCACATCCAATGTGTGAACAAATCCCGCAGCTCCACCTTCATGACATATCGGGAACCCAGCCGCCTCTCCCCGCCTTCCTGTAATCTCAACACTTTGGGAGGCCAAGTCTGGTGGATCACAAGGTCAGGAGTTTGAGACCAGCCTGGCCAAGATGGTGAAACACTGTCTATACTAAAAATACAAAAATTAGTCCAGCATGGTGGTAGGCACCTGTAATCCCAGCTACTCAGGAGGCTGAGGCAGGAGAATTGCTTGAACCCAGGAGGTGGAGGTTGCAATGAGCTGTGATTGTGCCAGTGCACTCTAACCTGGGCAACAGAGCAAGACTCCATCTCAGAAAAACAAACAAAACCACAAGTCTGCTCATGTCACCCCTCTGCTCAGTGGATTCTCTCCAGTGGACTCTCATCTTATTTGGAATAATAAAACCCAAAATCCTACAAGGCCGTACGTGATATCTCCCCCGACTTTTCTTCCCCTGCCCACCCCCCTCATTCACGCCACTCCAGCCGTCCTGACCTCCTTGCATTCCACACACACACTGTGCCCCTCCTTCTGTTCCAGTAAGCAGCATCCACCACGGATGCAGGAGGAGGGTGTGGAGGCATCTCCCCATGTCTCTGCTAATCTAATGCAACAGAAAGAACCTAAGAACACGGGAGGAGTCTTACGGCCCAGGTTCAAGTTCTAGCACCACCATTACTAGACATGTGAGTAATAATTATTTCTTGGAGTCTCATTTTCTCATTTGTAAAATGAGGATTATACTGAGGAGGGCAGATCACTTGAGGTCAGGTGTTCAAGACCAGCCTGACCAACATAGAGAAACCCCATCTCTACCAAAAATATAAAATTAGCCCGGCGTGGTGGTGCATGCCTGTAATCCCAGCTACTTGGGAGGCTGAGGCAGGAGAATAGTTTGAACCCAAGAGGCAGAAGCTACAGTGAGCTGAGATAGAGCCGTTGCACTCCAGCCTGGGCAACAAGAGCAAAACTCCATCTCAAAAAAAAAAGAGGACTATAGTATTTTACCCAAAAGGGTTATTGTAAGGATTCAAGAGAAAGCAGATAACGTGCCAAGCACACACCTGGCACATAGCAGGACTCTCAGTGAATGTCACTACGATTCCCCCTGCTGAACCACACAGGCTACAGTACTCAGAAAACACCCACTGGTTAAAAGAAACTCATAAAGTTGCCAACAGAGGAGCCAAGTTCATGAAGAGACATGAGTGGGTGATAAGAGATAAGCAGTTTTCTGGGTCAGGAGAGCAGCTGATACATGATCCAGGGTATCCGGTATGTCCAAGTGAGCGATCTGGGGACTGCGGCGGGCTCTGATGTCTGTGCTTTGTCAGAGGGTGCATACTGTTCTCCCTGAAATCCCCTGAGGGAATATATTTGAAAGCTGCAAAGCTGTACGCAGCAGCATAGAGTGAGTATCTCCTGGCTTCCTCCTGTTTCTGGGGTCTTTCTTCACTGCGCAGAGGAGTCCTCGTCCGTGGGACATTTCTGGGCTCAACAGCAGCCCACTTGCTTCCGGGAACTTTTCAGACATGTTCTTGGGTTTCTGACCCCTTCTCACCCCAGGAGGTTCTCACCCCATAGGCTCTGCTTCCTCTTCTCAGAGCAGACCCTGCGGTTACAATTGTGCAATATTTCGCTGTTCGTTGCAATCACCGTCTCTCTGCTAACATTGTAAGAGTTAGGCAAATGACAAGCCTGGGAAAAGGCAGAAGGGGCGTGCTCTGCTCTTCTCCTGTTAACAGTAGCATATGACTTCAAAAATGCAAAATCCTACAGAAGGGAAGCTGGGAGATTCAGAAACAACACTGTGCAAACCCAGAGGCTGTCCTTCCCAGGCAATTCTGGGAGCTACCAATCCCCAGCCTCTCCCACAGCTTCTGCCCCCTGAGAAGCAGCATGGCCCCACTGCCCCAGTGGGCCCATGTCTCCCGCTCCCCCATCCTCTGCCCTGTCCTGGAAGTTGGGCAATAAAGGGACATGTTAAAATTGAAAAGAGGCAAGGGCTGGACGCGGTGGCTCACGCCTGTAATCCCAGCACTTTGGGAGGCCGAGGCACATGGATCACGAGGTCAGGAGATTGAGACCATTCCAGCCAACATGGTGAAACCCCATCTCTACTAAAAATGCAAAAATTAGCTGGGCGTGGTGGTACGTGCCTGTAGTCCCAGCTACTCGGGAGGCTGAGGCAGGAGAATCACTTGAACCTGGGAGGTGGAGGTTGCGATGAGCCGAGATCACACCACTGCACTCTGGCCTGGTGACAGAGGCAAGGAGGTGTTCTCTCCCAGGAAGCAATGTGCTGCTCCATCTCCCACCGCACCTGCCCTCAGCATCTCCTCAGCTAGGCTTACTTAGCCAAGAGCAGCTCCATGGGTATGAATGACTAGGCGCCTGCTTCTGGAAGCATGTTAGGAAGGAAGTGGGGAAGGTTACGGAAAAGTAAAGCAGGAGAACTGGAAGATTTTATTCCCAGGTTTTTTCCTTGAAGACGCTTTTTAACTTTCTCCAGTTCTTCTCACTTACCTCACCATTGCCATTGACATAGGCTCCGTACACCTAGGAACTGAACAAGAGGAGACCAGAAGAGCCACAGAAAGGACAAGGGAAACTAGAGTGGCAGGGGGCAGGAGGGCAGAGGGTGGGGGTGGGTGGATGGACGCACAGCTCCTGACCATGTAAGAGCCAGGCCAGAAGCTAGGTCCTCAGATGCATTAGGTCTTCTCAGTGGCTTTCAGAGCCATATTGGAGCCTGAAAAAAAAAGAGAGAGAACATTGGCAATACTAATCCTGTTTTTTTTATTTTGAGACGGAGTCTCTCTGTTGCCCAGTCTCTCTGTTGCCCATACCCGGAGTGCAATGGTATGATCTCGGCTCACTGCAACCTCCATCTCCTGGGTTCAAACAATTCTCCTGCCTCAGCCTCCGAAGTAGCTGAGATTACAGGCACAGACTACTATCACCATGCCCATTACCGTGTTCATTTCCGTGTTTTTAGTAGACACGGGGTTTCACCATGTTGGCCAGGCTGGTCTCAAACTCCTGACCTCAGGCAATCCACCCGCCTCAGCCTCCCAAAGTGCTGGGATTACAGGCATAAGCCACCTCTCCCAGCCACTAATCCTGTTTTTAAACTTTGGTATTTTTATTCATAATGAAATGTTTTGCATTAATTTTGATGTTTAGAAATATCGTATTAAGGCCAGGCATGGTGGCTTACACTTGTAATCCCAACACTTTGGGAGGTCGAGGTGGGAGGATCACTTGAGGCCAGGACTTCAAGACCAGCCTGGACCACAAAATGAGACCCCATATCTACCAAAAAAACGTTTTTTAAAAAATTACCTGAGCATGGTGGCACGTACCTGCAGTCCCCGCTACATGGGGAGGCTGAGGTGGGTAGATTGCCTGAGATCACTTGAGCCCAGGAGTTTAAAGCTGTATAGTACGCTATGATCACACCACTGGACTCTAGTCTGGGTGACAGACAGAGACCCTGTCTTAAAAAAACAAAATTATTGGCCAGATGTGGTGACTCACGCCTGTAATCCCAGCACTGTGGGAGGCCAAGGTGGGCAGATCATGAGGTGAGGAGTTCAAGACCAGCCTGGCCAACATGGGGAAACCCCATCTCTATTAAAAATACAAAAATTAGCCGGGCATGGTGGCAGGTGCCTGTAATCCCAGCTACTTGGTAGGCTGAGGCAGGAGAATTGCTTGAACCTGGGAGGGAGGCTTTGCAGTGAGCCTAGATCGTGCCATTGCACTTCAGCCTGAGTAACAAGAGCAAGACATTGTCCCCCCCCAAAATTATCTATATTCATGACTAATATTTTTGGCACCCCCTTAAGTGTACACTGGAAGTAAGTGCCCCTCCTGTCTCACCCTGGTCCTAGCCCTGATGAGATTTAGCCCAGCTGATGAACTGTCAATTCTCCTGGTTGATGATTTTTCTTTTTTTGGAAAGAAAGAGTGAAAGCTCTAAAAATAATCTTTAAAAATCAAAGTCTTTTTTTTTTTAATGTGCAATTCTACTAAAAGAATTAAGCAAAGAGTGAAATTCTCAGCCACAAAAAGAAACCAAATTTAGACACAATTCAAATCCTTTATCTTCTGACAAAGCCAAGGTACTTCACCTTCCCAGCCACAAGGTGTCTCTGTAAACTCCCTGCAGGCCTCTGCACAGGGAGCTGCAGATAACGTCATATGTGAAATCTGTTTTTAACCAGCTCTAAAGAGACAGCATATACAAAAAAAAAATAGTTTGAAATGTAACAGCCTCAAATACCAAATTTACAGTGATCCGTCCATTTATCCAGGATTTCTGGTTAATAGCCAAGTGCTTATAATAATACAATCTATTAACAGATTTAAGCTAAGAAATAGATTATTAGAGTCAAGTTGTCCTAATCAGGACACTTTCTAGAATGTTCCTGCTTTATTGTTTCCTCATATCTTATCCAGATTAATTTCTGACGTAATACAATTCTGCAAGATCAAAATAGAGTATTTCAGGACCTAACTCTTCCCCTGGTTTGGAGGACTAGATTTTACCCTATTCTTTAGGGTAGGGAATTTTGTTTTTGTTTTCATTAAGACAGAGTCTCACTCTGTCGCCCAGGCTGGAGGGCAATGGTGCAATCTTGGCTTGCTGCAACCTCTACCTCCTGGGTTCAAGCGATTCCCCTGCCTCAGCCTCCCTAGTAGTCAGAATTACAGGTGTGCACCACCACGCATGGCTAATTTTTAGTAGAGACAGGGTCTCACCATGTTGGCCAGGCTGGTTTTGAACTCCTGACCTCAAGTGATCCACCCACATTGACCTCCCAAAGTACTGGATTACAGATGTGGGCCACTTTACCTGGCCTAGGGTAGGGAATTTTGAAAACAATATTTAAACCATTTGTTTATGTTAAAAAAAAAAAATCAATGCATGAAGTGCTATGGCGGGGAGGGGGGGCGGGGCAGAAAACAAAGTATTGGGAAGGTTGTACTATTCCTTCAAAGTAAGTTGACTTTGACTTGTTGTCATTCTTTCCCTTCCCATCCTCACCTCACCTCACCTCACCACTCAGAAGAAAATGCAACACTTCAGTAAACAGACCATTTCGTCCGAACTTAACTCTTTCGTGAGTTAATTCTGCAAATAAGCACTTCATTCCACACAGTGGGGGGACCTTCGATCCTTCTTCCAAAGGTGGGGGAAAATGACTCCTGGGAGAGACCTCTGTGATGACACTCCACGGGCCTCTCCTGCTTGTCTAAGATAGCATGTATTCTTCATTTAAAAATTGCCACTCATAATGATCACAATAGGAACACGGCTACTGTTCACAATGAGGTGCTCACTACCTATTTTAGTACAGTCATTTCTCTGAGTCTCCACAGCAGGAAAACCAGCTTTTCTCCTAACTTCCTAAGCAATTCCTCTTCATCTACCTGTTCCCTCAATGTCGGGCTTCTCAGGATTCAATCCCAAGCTTGCTTCCCTTGGTCAAGGTAGAAGAAAATCTTACCAGTTATAATGAAACTTCAGACTATAAGAAAAGAGGGAGTAACAGTGGGTTCCATGTCAAATGAGTCACATGTCTTGAAGAGGAATGCCAACCACAGGCTCCATCCCTCACATCTGGGTAGCTACATCCTTTCTATGAGTCATGGGGCATTAAACTGCCATCAAATCACGGGGGGTCTTGTTCAAATGCAGATCCTGAGTCAGCAGGACTGAGTGAGGCTGAGATTCTGCATCCCACATGATACTGATGCTGCTGTTCCATGGACCACACTTTGAGAAGCAGGGTTTAGATGATCATATAATTATAATGCAATACTGATAAAACATACCTAAGTTATCAATCGCACCAACAGCCCAAATCAATATATAATAATGGCTGAACTGGGAGAGGGAAGTTGATTTTGAAAAATTAGAAGAATATAAGCTTTTGGTTTCTAAAACTCAAAATCTCTTGGAAGAGAAAAGGGACCTAAAAGTTCCATGACATCAGAAACAAGATTCTGTTTTTTCAAAGGACCCAACCTAAAGATTGATTGTGCAGCTTTGAATGACTAGCCCCAGTACCAAGAATCAATTCTTTTGTAACTTAGAATCTGCAACTTGAGCCAGTCTGCATTTGGCGGGGAGGGGAAGGGGAAGAAGGATGATCCATATTATTTTTGCAATCCTAAATTGATACAGAAATAGGAAACCCAGAAAGTTAAAAATAAAAATAAGAATTAAATTTATGTGTATTTATCATTAATGTAGATGATGAACAATCTTAAATCCATGATATTAGCAATTTTAAAGATCAATGAATGGTCGGGGGTGGTGGCTCATGCCTGTAATCCCAGCACTTTGGTAGGCCAAGGTGGGCGGATCGCCTGAGGTCAGGAGTTTCAGACCAGCCTGGTATTTCACATGGTGAAACCCCATACCTACTAAAAATACAAAAAATTAGCTGGGTTTGGTGGTGCATGCCTGTAATCACAGTCACTTGGGAGGGTGAAACAGGACAATCACTGGAACCCAGGAGGTGGAGGTTGCAGTGAGCTGAGATCACGCCATTGCACTCCAGACGGGGCAACAAGCAAGACTCCATCTCAAAAAACAAACAAATAAAAAAACAAATAACAAAATCAATGATGGGCTGAGTGTGGTGACTCACGCCTCTAATGCCAGCACTTTGGGAAGCCAAGGCAAGCAGATCGCTTGAGGCCAGGAGTTCGAGACCAGCTTGGCCAACATAGCGAAACCCCATCTCTAGTAAAAAATACAAAAATTAGCTGAGCATAGTGGCGCACGCCAGTAGTCCCAGCTGCTTGTTTATTTATACGTTTATTTTCTTAACAATCACAATCAGAACATGGCTAATGTCCACAATGAGGTGCTCACTACTTATTTTAGTACAGTCATTATTTTCATAAAAGCATAAGTTTTACCTTACTAGTTATAAATGTACTGCATAAATAGAGAAATGCTGACTGTTGACTAAAAGAATGCTAATTGCTTAACAAATATATGAGAAGGTCTTGGCGACCTTGCAGGAGATCAAACATGTCAAGTTCCTGCCAACACAATTTAGAAACTGCAGAAAAAGAAATTTCTGTAATTTCTTTCTTCTAAAATGTGCTTCGCCAACCTTTGCAGGCCTATTTGTGAGTCTGTGTGCTTAATGACTCTTTCTTCTTGGATTGTGAATTCCGTGACCATGGAAACAGTTTACCATGGTGATCTTTATACTCCTGCAAAGGTTTCTGGTATTATCCCATTTACAGAAGGCAGGCTGGGAGAGTGTTTAGTAGCATGTCCAAGTCGTAGTGCTGGGATAGAACCAAGGTCTTTCTTACTTTTGAGCCTATGTTCAATAAACAGTGATTGCTGATTGAATGCTGCTCAGGTCATCTGCTGTGTTCTTCAAACACAAAGTCACAGAATTACGGGACCTCCCAGAGCTTTCCTTGAAAAGAAGATTTGGGGCAAAACTTTAAACACTATTCCCTTAAAGAGCCAATCATAGAGAACACAATGAAAATATACATCTAGACAGATTAACGAGACAGAAAATTAACAAGGATATCCAGGACTTGAACTCAGACCTGGACCAAGCAAACCTAATAGACATTTATAGAACTCTCCACCCCAAATCCACAGAATATACATTCTTCTCAGCACCACATCACACCTACTCTAAAACTGACCACATAATTGGGAGTAAATCATTCCTCACCAAATGCAAAAGAACAGAAATCATAACAAACAGTCTCTCAGACCACAGTGCAATCAAGTTAGAACTCAGAATTCAGAAACTAACTCAGAACTGC